ATATATATATATATATATCAGTTCCAGCTGGGGATTTAGCTCAGTGGTTCCGCCACCTCCCTTGCAAGCACAAGGGTCTGAGTCCCAACCCCAGTACAAAACAAAACCAAAGGAAAAAAAACAAAACAAAACAGTAAAATATGTTCCAAAATCTTAAACATTTAAAAACCAACTTAGTCTTTTCCCAATCATCAAGATATTATTCACATTAGTTTCAAATACCTTTATAATAGTTTTATAATCTGCTTGTTAAAATTCCCAACTTGGAATTCTGTTTTCTGAGTATTTTATGGCCAATAACAGTTCTTTCAGGAAAATTTCAGAGGTTATGATAATTTTGGAATTTGAAGAATTCCAATGTTTAAAAAGAGAGATAGAGAACAAGAAATGGTAACAACCTAAAAAAACACAAACAAAAACCTGACAAAAATTTTAACAAAGCCAAATGTTCTGAAACAAAAAAATTTCCAGTGAGGTCCTAATGATTCATTAGACTCATTGTTAACTTATGTTATCTTTACCCAAATACATGACAAAATAGTAAAATAAAATAATCTATAAAAAGTAGAAGACAACTCAAGATCCTAGTAATGAAAAACAAAAAGAATCAGAACTAGAAGTGGATGATTAAAAAATCAAATTTAAGTCTTCTGAACAATCATTATTCTCATATTTAAGGTACAGATATAAAGAGAGTTCAATTTACAATATAGAGTACCACAAGGGAAAAAGTCATACAATTTTGAAGCCATTTAAAAGCTGAGTTAGCAAACCAACCAGGTAACCTGCATTCCAAAGTGTGACAAGCCCCTCCCAGGAGAAAGAGACACATGCAAATTGTTTCACCTTTGGCAAGGTATGAAAGGGAGAGCAAGCAGGTAGACAGATAAAAAGAAAACTACTCATGAATTTTTTACTCCAGGTATATAAACTTCAAGACTTACATTGACAGAGAATAATCCTCAGTATCCTTCCCAATAAGTCTTTGCTTTAAATTGCTAATATTTATGTGTGTACTATAGTCCAAGCATTGTTCTAATACTATGCTTTATTGAATTAGATCCCATGATTTAGTAAGAAAGCACTGTTAGTATTTTTGCTTAACAGAGCAGGGTGGGTCATTTGTCTAAGTTCTCATGGCTAATAAATGGCAAAGCTGGGGTTCAAACATCTACATCCTGACCACAAAGCCCAAATTTTAATTACATGTCTTATCTCCAATCCTGAGATCCCTTCTTACTGCAAAATAATTTCTCTGGTTGTTTTCAAAGTGAATAAACTAAAAACATTCTCCTGTTATAATTTTAGATGTACCAAGATAGCATGCAAAGAAAGTCACATTTAATATAGAATTTAAGTTTTCACCTTACACGTAATAATGCTATTACTTGATATGGGTTAATATATGATTGTAATCTACATGGGAGAAGTAGAAAACATACAGCAAATAGGACTTTTTTGTTCTTGCCCCATCTGCCACAGAACATTAACTTGAACAGAACTAAAAATCTGCTTTAAGACTAACCAAGGGAAATGATTAAATATTGAAATTTGATTAGCAGATAAAAACTTTGCTATGAAATTGCCCTCATCCCTTTGTTCTGATAAGCTAAATAATATAAGAAAAAAAAACTAAAACAGTTTTAAGATTTACTTCATGCTATGATGGAACTATGGTAAAAAGCACATTGCCCTTATATTTAAATAGAATCTCTCTTGTCATATTCGACTTTCAAAAATGAGACTACTACTGAAAACATATGTAGTGGGAGTTGTATTTTAAAATATCTTCCATATGTTAACATTAGTCTAATGAATTCTGAACTCAGCCTAGTATTCTTAGCCTCATTTCAATTAAAATTAATTTATTAACATCTCTTCACAACAATCATATCAACTTTCAAGAACAAACTAAAGGTACAGAATTCTTTCCTCTGCCAAGAGGTAGTTACTTTTCAAGCCAACCGTCAAGCTTGAAAGAAGCACACACCTGGGCAAGGGAGTTTCAGTGTAAAGCGAATTAAGTTTGTTTTCAAAGATATACAAGAATATCATAAAGCATACTGAATTAATATTCTAATATGTTTGTGATGAAACAGACTTGCTTATTTCTGAACTTTATAAGACTTCGTTTTTATTAGGGTTAGACTTCAACCCCCTTCCCTCTCCCACTGTTTTTCCAGGGTCACAGTTGCAGTACACCACACAGAGGATTTCGCATGGTCATCTGTGCCTGGAATACGGCATGCTCCCTAACCGCCCCAACCTCTTCCAATCAGAGATAAGCTAAATGCAGCTTGCTTTTAGGGGGCCAAGAAAATGGACGCAATAACTTGACCTAGTACGTCCAAATGGCACTGCTGGTGGCCTCTTGCTTGCAGGTAAAGCCCTTTGCAAACATATCGTCATCTTAACTTACTCCCTAGCTTAGCATGTACGAGGCTTGTCAAGACTGCAAGAAACGCGGCTTTCCTACCGCTCGCAGGGAACCAATGCGGGCTCCAGCTCCTCTAAAATTAAACCACTGCTTCTCCTTTGAACTACGCATTACTTCACAACAGGCTTTCACGTCCCTCATCAAACTGATTCTCACTTCAAGCCCGTGAGATGTGCGTCGTCTTCGTGCCTATTTCACAGATGTGGGAAGGATCCTGTCCACCGACGCAGTCCCAAGGGAGGCCTCTCCCCAGTAAAGGAAGCTTTAAGGCTTGCGTGATCCTCCAGGCTTGCAGCCTCTCAACTGGCCGGAGGGCAGAGGCCAGGGAGGTGGGCCTCTAGGCAGAGGCCGCTCACTCTCCTGGGTTCCCCTCTACCTCCGTCGGCATTCGGCCAGGACCCCAGACCCCAACGCGACTCACACGCACCCCCCTCGGCCTCACCGTGCGCTCTCTCCAGACAGCGTCTGAAAGGGGCCTGGAAGCTCCGCTTTCGCCACAGCCGTCCAGGGTCTGAGACCCACACTCGGGGAAGACGGCGATTACGGCCACCAGAAGGCCTCCAGGCTCCCGAGAAAGGAAAACCCGTCTACTCAAGAAGCTGACATTTCCCAGTCAAACGGAGCCCCGCCCACTTCCGCCTCCCCGCCTACCTTGCGCACTGTCCAGCCCCGCACCGCGGGGTGTTGTGGGTATCAGAAAGGCGGGCCGAGCTGCTTGTGGCGGAAGTAGAAGTGATCTAGTGGGACTGCTGCAGTAAAGGAACTACAGCTCCCAGCAGGCTGCAGGGGCAAACGGAGGCCATAGGGAGAGCGGGAGGAGGAGCTCTGCGCGCGCTCCAGAGATGGAACGTTGCTACAGTTCTCTGGTCTGACTGCTAGGGGCCCAAACTGCACGCTGGGAGCCGCTGCGCGCCAAAGCGGGAATCCAGGAGGCGGGAAGTTCTGCAATTAATGCACGTATTTAAAACTCCGGACCCAGTGGACGCCATGCACAGGTAAGTGGATTGCAAAGAGGTCAGACCATGGATGGACCTGCTGAATTCTTTTGGGCCGCGAATATTGATACATGCTAAGATCGTTATTAATGCTGTTAAATGAATGATTGCTTAGCCCCTTGGGGAATGTGTGGGTAGATTGATGCTTCTGTGTGGGAATCAGATGCGGTTTAATTTGGCTTCCCTAAGTGGGTTTACCTACTACCGATTTCAATTACTGTATGACTCTCCCTTTCCTTGTTCCCTCCATGGGAAGAAAATCTTGAGGCCTTCTGCGTGATCGTAAATCAAAAAGCCTTTTATTTTTCTTATTCTTTTTTTTTTTTTTTCTGTTTTCTCTTTCATTCTTGGGAATTAGCTGTGGGCACGTAAAAATACAATTCTATTAGCTGCTGTTAAAATTTTCTACAATGCATAATTTGCTGCTTCTTTCATGCCTACCCTAGAATTACTTAGGGGTAGGTTTTCAAAAGAAAAGCAATGATATTGTACCCTTCTGCAGGAAGCACCTCCAGGAGATTCCGGACCAGAGTAGCAACGTTACCACCAGCTTCACATGGGGATGGGACTCCAGCAAGACTTCTGAACTATTGTCAGGCATGGGGGTTTCTGCCCTTGAGAAGGAGGAGGTAGACAGTGAGAACATACCCCAGGACCTGCTTTCAAACCTGGGCCACCCACAGAGCCCCCCACGGAAAAGGTTGAAGAGCAAAGGAAATGATAAAGATTTTGTGATCATCCGCAGGCCTAAGCTCCATCGAGAGAACTTTCCAGGTAAGATAGGATAAAATTGTCACTGTAAGAGGTGGATTGAACGGATTTGTAGGAAAACCTTTGTTGGAAGATCTTTAGGATGGGTCCCTTTTTAAATCTCGCAGTCTAGAAATTATTTTCCAAAGAGATGGGGCCAGCCATCATTGAAGTTTATGGGAGATATTTAAGACTATCTTCTGGTGTGCAATCAACTTGAAACTTTTAACTCATGAGAAGATTCGTGTCTTTTTCCTTAGAAGGAAATCTGCCTGCCCAAAGCCCAGCTCAGTGCCACTGATAAATGGGAACATAAACAATGATCTGCTTGAAGGATTCTTTTTGTTTATATTCTACTGCTTTGAACCCCCAACTGAGCTTTCCATTCTAATCACTTTGATTATTTGTCAGTAGAATACAAAAACAAATCTTAAACCAAGTGGACAGGACTTATCTCTACAGGCCCACTCTTAAATGGGCTTCTGGTATGCTCTGTCTCCATTATCGTGGCTTATCTGCTCAGTCACCCAACTCTAAAATCTAAGTCAGTGTGAGTACCCCAACATCTAATCAGTCATTGCATCTTTCCTTCTTATCTAGGAAATATTTCTCAGGCTCTCCTCATCTCTTGCCTAAACTATTTTAAGAGACTCAACAATTTTAACCTTCTTTTCCCCAGCGTCTTACCCCAGAGATAGAATAAATGGACTAAAATTTAGATGTCACCACGTTATTTTTTCCTAATAGCTCCGCAACCCTTGGGTTTCTCAGTCAGGTGAATGAGTGCCTACTGAGTTGATCAGAGCCCTCAAAACCTTAGGGCCCTGCACTGACTTGATCAGTTTTTCTTGCTGGTAAATATTCAAAACAGTAATTCAGCAAATATTTCCTGAGCGCATGCTTCTTGTTAGGCATTGTGCTAGGTGATGAAGATGTACCTGTGAGCCAAATGTAAACATACTTAGGTTCATGGATTTTCCGTTCTAATGAGAGAATACAATAAACACAATAAGTAGGATGTTTTATGTAATATGTAAGAACATAATGCTAAGAGTTATGGCTAAAAAATAAAAATAGAGCAAGCCAGAAGGGAATTGGAATCCTGGGATAGGAAGGAAAATTACAGATTTAAACAGGGTTTTGAGAGAAAGCCTCAGTGAGAGAAGTGGCCTTTAAGTAAAGGCATACAGGCGACCAGGCGATATACCATACTCTTATCTTGGAGAAAAGAGCCCCAGGCAAAAGGAACAGCTTTTATAAGATCCTTAGGAAGGAATAACATGTTTACCCCAGGAACAAGGAAGCCACATACTAAGAATGGAGTGGGAAAAGTGAGAGTAGGGAGAAATTCATCTAGAGGTGGTCTTAAACACAGTTGTCCCCGTATTTAGCTCATTGTTTCCAGCCACTGCTTTGCAAGCGCAAGGACCTGAGTTCAATGCCTGGACTAAAAAAAAAACACACACACACAGTTGTGATATGATTGAGCCTTTTAAAAAGAGACACTGATGTGCTGAGATGAAACAGTAGGGAGTAGAGGATCAAAGTTTGGCGAGTTGTTAAGATACATATAGGGATGATAATAAATAGTGGTCATATTTGGACTATAATGTTAGAGATGATAGAATTAGGAGGCTGTTGAAGTTGTCTATGGAAGCAATCATAGGCTGATATTCAGTGAGTAATAATAGAGAAGGCAGATTATAGAACCAAGGTAAAAAAAAGTTTATCTTTTAAGTTCTTCCTTCTGGCGTCTTCTGTGGAAGGGTTCATGGGTTGGTTGCTTGCTTTTTTAAAAAATTGCTTTCTTCTCCCTTTCTTTAGGAAAGATCCTTGTCCACTTACAAGATGGGAATCCACATTAAGAATTAATCAGAAAGTCAGGAGAGTATTGGGAGGTCAAACAAATCTGGATTGAATCTTTATTCTGCTCTTTACCCACCTTGGAAAGTTAAGCGCCTCTCTCTCTCAACTAGTTTCTTTACCTGTGAAATGAAGTATAATTGACACTTTATAAGTGGTCGAGAAGATTAAATAAGCCTCTTAGCAGGCTGCTGGCACATACCACTCATCAAGTAAGCCCAGTTAATTTTAGTCAAGTGGGCTGTGGTTGTAGCTCAGTAGTAGAGCGCTTGCATTGCATGCAGGAGGCCCATGTTCAATACCAAGCACAGAAAAGGAAAAAAAAAAAAAAAAATCAAAATTTCTAACAACCGTTTTGGAGGCTGCTTTATTTTTGTCCATAATTCTGTTATTCTGACCCTATGAGTGTAGAACACTTTTTCTTTAAAATTTAATGCCACTACTGTTTTCAGCACCTGGAATGTAATTTGCTGGCAGTTTGCTGTTTGACCAACTAAATATAGTGAAAGACATTTTCTGCTAAGATGAACAGATTTCATTTAACTCGTCTGTTGTCAATAGTTTTTTGACATGAAGTGTGATTGCCCTCTCCTTCCACATTCACACATATACAAATGTAAATTGAAAACTGACTTTTGAAAACTGACTTTTCTTTAAAGCAATCAGATAGAACCAGATAGAAATATAGGGAATGGTTGCTGTGTCCTAGAAGTTTGCAAATCAAGTTGGGAAGAAAAAACAAGAGCAGCTCACCCTGGGGAATATGTGGCTGCTACCTACACTGGCCGCAGAGGAGCAGCTCAGACAGTGAGTGCTGTGGGGTAGTAGTGGCAAACCTAGGCCACAACAGACTGTTTGTGGCTTTGAAAGCTCTAAAAGGCCCGCCATCTCTGCTGTAGGGGATCAGGGAGGAGTCCCTTGTGCAGAGTGATTGCGTTCCCATTCAGATATGTATAGATAGTCTTCCTGACACTCAGCAAAAATGGAATTTCCAAGGAGAGGAGCTGAAAATGGTCCAATCAGTGAATCTGGATTTTAAAGTTGCCTTCAGAAAAGATAGCAACTTTTGTTTTCATTACCTAAGAGTAATATACAGGAGAGAAAGGTTCGGGAGACAAAAAACAATAATATACCTTTGTATGTAACATACACATGCATGTAGATTGATGAATTGCTATGGATGTGGCAGGGGTGGTCCAGGGATGTAGGATGAGGGACAGCTGGTGTAGAAAATTCCTACTAGGCCTCTAGAAGCCTAGGCCTTCAGGGCAGCTATGACCTAATTCCAAGAAGTTTTGCCTCCAGTTGTCAGGACAGGTGGCTGATAGCTCTGCCAGGATTGGGGTAGGACAGGGCCTGGGGTGTGAGTTTTTGTTAGTACTTTGCCGAGCAGTCTTTCCCTGCAAGCTCCAGTCCGGCCTCACTTCTGGCAACAAAATCTTCTTTATCTGTTTACTTTGGAAGATTAGAGCTGTGAGGTCTGCTATACCAGAATGGGTCTGATTTGCCTGGGGAGAATGATGGAAGGACTTGGGAGGAAATAGCCCAGGAGCGAGGCGAGTAATATGCAAAAAGGAGACAGTCACATTTTATTTATGATCATTAAATGCCTGGTTTTTGCCCTTTAAACAGGTGACGGCCATGAAAATGTGGTTGAACTAATTTGTTGATTAGCTCTTCCATGGCTCTTAGACTGCTTGGAATTCCAGACCCTCAAAGGTTCTCAGAGTAGAGACTAAAGTTCAGAGCATATCAGAATCCCCAAGGGAACTCGTTCAAAGTGCAAAATTCCTGAGATTCTCATGTAAGAACTCGTTGAAGCCTGGGAGCCTGTTTTAATATCCCAGGTCAAACATTTTTCATGAAACTTTTTATTTGTTAACCAGTAAAAAATGTTTTTTTAATATTATAATCCTTTATGTGTATCTGAGATTTTTTTTTACAAAATTGTCCTTCTTTCTAGTCAAACTTCCTAAATCGATTTCATGACACATCAATAAGTCTCAGCCAACAGTTCCCAAATTTCAGTTTTGTGGAAGACTTTCTGGCACCCTCGCAGTCATCTTTGTCTGTTTCAGTTTCCTATCATTCATTCATTCCTTTTAGCAAATGTTTATCAGATGTCATTCTTGGGGTTAGAAACAAGCATTGAACATGAGCAAAAGACCCTGCTCTCATGGAATTTATATCCCGTATCTTATTTCCCAAGTTCCATTTTCAGTTCTTTCTGCTTACTCCTTTCATCCCAGGGTTGAGCAAATCCTTCCTAGAAATAAGAGTTGTGGGATAAAGGTTTGCACTGGGGACCCCTGTTTCATTTTGTTACATTTTGTTTTATTTTGTATTGTCTACCTAGCCAGAATATAGTCTCATGTTTTCTCTTTATTGTTTGTGGGAAGAGGAAGGAGAACTCATTAGAAAGACAAAATCTGGGTGTACTTCCTCAGAAAGGAAGTGTTGCTACTTAAAACAAGTTAGAAAAACTAACTGAGATAAACCCTTGAAGGAAGGAAGGAAGGGTAGCAGAGCCTCACTACCACATTAATGATGCCAGAAGAAGAACAGTTTTAAAAGTCAAAATTTGGGATATGGCTAAGATTGCTTCGGATTTTCAATCTGATTATGAGTTCTGAGAAATAAACAGCGGATGTAAGCTTAGTTATCTGTACTATAAAAACCAAGTACATAGAAAACTCCTTTAAACTGCTCTTTCCAGAATAGTTGGAGATGCACAGGAGTTGATGAGTTCCAGTGGTGGAAAGTTGGGTTTGTACCTGAGGAGTGATTGGAAGCAGTGATAGGTACAGTGATCACTGGAGAGCTCTGCTCTGGCCAGGTTTTGGCCTTTCCAGGCTCTGAAGTATCCCTTGTCACCATTCCTGTTTTTGAAGACTGGAGGCTTCGGGCTTAATTATTATTTCCTTTTGTATAGGGCTGGTGTACAGCCTTGGTGGGTTTAACAGAAGCAAGCAAAAGCTTCCGTATGTTCCTTTCCTCTCAGCAAGCAGACCAGGCAGCATTCTGTAGTCAAGAATCCAGGAAACAGATGGTTGATGTTTTGAGAATTAAATATGGCAAGTAAAATTAGACTAAGCATGTCACAGCCTAGATGCCAGCCACTGGAGCAGCTATGAAAGACAAAATTCTGCCCCATCTGCTGG